ATATATATATATATATATATATACACACACATATATTTAAATAAAAATTTCAAATAAATATTAATGTACATGTGAATATATATAATTTTTTACATTAAGTATTAATAATTGCTACTTTTATTATAATATTAAATAATATATATTTAATAAATAACTATAATTAAATATACTTTTATTATACTTACCGATCATATCGGTTCTTTTAATAATCTTCAACCATGCTTCTGATTTCGCGGGTTCCGATGGAAATCGATGCACTGGAAACTTGCTTAATAAGGTACACCCTGGCACACAGCATTTCCACACCATTTTAATATTTTATCTATAACTAATAATACAATTTATAACTAATGTTATAAACAACTTAAATCTAAAATTAATAAAAAAATAATACAAAAAACAGAATAAATAATAATAAAAATAAATTAAAAGTAAGGTAACCAAGTAGGTTACAAAGATAAGAATAAGAAAAATAAGACAAAAAAGAAATAAAAATTTTTTTTAGGATTTTTTCCTAATGAAATGTCTCCGTGAACGCTGCTAAAAACTGTTGTCAGCTGCTGTCAGCTGCTATGCACACAAAAATTCTTCTTGTCACACCGGCAAAATCACATTGAGCACCACAAAATATGACAAAATGACAGATAACCGAACTGTTTGCAACTGTTAAGCAACCGTTCCAAGTCGCGGCCGACAGTGCTGCGATCTTCGGTTGTACCGTCAAACCTGACTTCCGTCCCCGAAAAATTCGAGGAGTGACGACCCCCTGCACTGCGTCAACGTGTCTACCGAAAAATTCTACCGTGCTACTCGCCACCGCGTGGGTGAATTTGCGTACCTACGAAAATCGAATAGTACGAGTATGCGCGTTACTCGACCAAGGAGCTACTCATACGTTTATCACGGAGACATTGACTCAATCGCTGCACACATCCCGCCAACGGACGACTTTGCCCGTGACGTGTTTCGGCGCCCAATATTCCGGCACGGCGAAAACGATGATACGACTTTCGCTCGAGCCGTGCACAACGAACGACATTTTTTTCCCAGTCACGGCCTACGTGTTTAATCGGATAACATCATACGGTACCTCGAAGCGCAGCCCTGTCTCTGGCTGGCCGCATTTACAAGGACTTGACCTAGCCGATACTGATCCCACCGATCAAACTCCGATACAAATATTAATTGGAGCGGATCTATACGGAGCCACATTACTAGATGGACTTCGAAAAGGTCCGTTCGGCAGTCCCACGGCCCAGTCAACGATCTTTGGTTAGATTGTCACTGGCCCTACTCGCGATATCGATTCCAATGCATCAGCTTGCGTAGCAACAGTCAATACTATGGACATTGACCTCAACCAAATTCTCGTGCGATTCTGGGAGACTGAAGAGGTTCCCATGAAACCAAGCTTTACCGTGGACGAGGAGAAATGCGAGAATCATTTCCGTACCACTCACGCGAGAAGGAAGAGCGGGCGATACATTGTTCGCCTTCCCTTTAAACAATTTCCTCTACATATTGGAGATTCACGCTGCATCACGACTCGATTGTACGACAAACTCGAGAAGCGGCTATCGCGCGATGCTAATCTCGCTGCGTCATACGATGCGTTTCTTCAAGAGTACCTAGACTTGGGACATATGGAGCTGGTCACCGGTCCAGAATCGTCTCACGACACCGTCGTCTACCTACCGCATCACCCCGTGGTGAAGAGCAAAAGTTTGTCGACTAAATTGAGGATCGTATTTAACGCGTCGTGTGCTACATCGAATAAAACTTCCCTTAATGACCATCTTCATACCGGGCTCAAGCTACAGACTGATCTGATGTCTATACTAATCAGATGGAGACAACATAAATACGTATATCTTGCCGACATTGAGAAAATGTTTAGGCAGATAATGGTGCATCCCGAAGATGCTGATTACCAACACATTCTGTGGCGTCGTCGCAATCGTCCATCCAGTCGTATCGTCTACGTACCGTTACGTATGGTACAGCTCCCGCGCCATACCTCGCGATACGGGTATTACACCAACTTGTCAAAGATGAAGGCCATCGATTTCCTCTTGCACATTCCATTCTACTACACGAGACTTATGTCGATGACATTTTATTTGGTGCCGGCGATATTGATACGGCCAATGCAATGAGAGTTCAATTAGTCAATATGTTCGCGGCGGGCGGATTCCGTCTGCGTAAATGGGCTGCCAACGCTACCGAAATGCTCGAAGATGTACCGCCTAATGATCGAGCTATCAACATGAATCACTCCTTAGAAGAGGATAACAACATCAAAGTTCTCGGTTGCCATTTCATGGTTGCCACGAGATGATTCCTTCTCCTTCCATATTTCGCTCCCGCCCACTGCGGTAGCAACCAAACGCTCGATTCTTTCGGCCATAACCAGAATTTTCGACCCCCTTGGATGGGCTACGCCGGTAGTCATTATTGCTAAGAGCCTGATGCAAGAATTGTGGATTAGGACATGCGGCTAGGATGAGCCGCTTCCCGCGGATCTCAGCACACGTTGGGAAACTTATCGCGATTCTCTCCGATCTCTCACCGAAGTTCGGATAACCCCGCTGGACCGGACAATCCAAACATGTGAGCAGTATCGAATATCACGGTTTTTCCGACGCCTCACTTAAAGCTATAAGTGCCGTGGTGTATATGAGAATTACCTGCCAAAATGACGTCAAGGTCATGCTTATCGCAACCAAATCTAAAGTGGCGCCAATTAAAACTCTGTCTGTCCCGCGTTTGGAGTTAAACGGTGCCGTATTACTCGTCAAATTGCTACAATACGTGATTGAAACGATGCAGCTCTCTAGTATTCCAACCTATTGCTGGACTGATTCGACAATCGTTTTCGAATGGCTTAAAAAACATCCCTCCACGTGGGTTCAGTGATGCGCTATCGTGGGATTTTTTCCCATACGGAAACCTCCGTGCGCATGCGTAAGCTGACGTCACAGCTAGACGTCGGCTGCTACCACAGATGTATCTAGCTAGGTGTACTATAGGGGATATGATAGTTTTCCCGCGTTTTTAATGACACATGACATGTGTAGTGCATTATAATCTATAATAATTAAAATCAGCTGATATTGTGAAAGAAGATGGATCATCCACAACCATCAACATCAAGTGGCATCGAGAAAAAGAAGAGTAAATCAAAATGAAAGTATTCCAGTATTCTTGGCTAAGTATTAACATTTTTAAAGATTGGTTAACGCCACATGAAAATAATGAAAAAGCTCTCTGCACGGTTTGTAATAAAATTCTTTTATGTGGCAAATCAGATTTAATAAAACATTCCAAAACGAACTTGCATGTTAAGAATGTAGATAAAGCCGTAATGTCGCAGCATCTGCTTTATTACCTAAACTCAATAAAAATGAGGACCATGTTAATAAAGTTAAAACAGCCGAAATAAAATTAGCTACTTTTTACGCGGAACACAATATAGCTTTTCAAACAGTAGATCACTTGGTCCCTTTATTGAAAGAAACTTGCTCTAATCCACAGGTAGTTCACGATCTGAAACTGTCAAGGAAAAAATGTGCACAAATAATTAAAAATGTTTTAGGAAAACGCGAAAGTGAAAAACTTGTTACAAATTTAAAAAATCAGAAATTTTCAATTTTAGTTGATGAAAGCACAACTATCAGTAATGATAAGTTGCTTTGTATTTTAGTAAAGTACGTATCATTAGAAAACAAAAAATGTGTTACGCAATTATTTGAATTAGTTTCTTTAAATGCCACAGATTGTTCCGCGGATAAATTATATGCTGCATTTGAAAACTCTTTTAAAAGTAAAGATATACCGTTATCAAATATTGTAGGAATAGCTTGTGATAACGCTTCCGTGATGACAGGAGTTCGACATTCTTTTATAAGTAATTTGAAACAAGAGGTACCGGACCTTGTTGTATTAAGATGTATATGCTATTCTTCAGCTCTTATTGCAAGTAAAGCTTGTACAAAATTGCCAGATTGTTGTGAGAATGTTTTACATGCAGTTGCAACATATTTCTCTGGCAGTGCAAAAAGATCAGTTATCCTGTGCGAATTTCAAAATTTTTTTGGAGTAGAATCACGTAAAATTTTAAAATTATCTGCTACAAGATGGCTCGTCTTGCAAAAGTGTATTACTAGACTTCTCGAAAATTGGGAAGTCTTGAAACACTATTTTCACTTAGAAACTGTAGAGTCTAAAAATAACTTGGCAATAACAATTTTTAATATTTTAAATGATAACAAAATTAAAGCATATATGCTTTTTCTAAAATATACGTTAAATTCTTTTAATGAGTTTAATGCTTTGTTTCAAAGTAGAAAAATTTTAATTCATAAATTAGCTGAGAATAGCGAGTATTTAATAAAGCAGATGGGACAAAAACTTTTTGCTACCTAATGCGTTAAAAGAAATTAGTATAGATATTCTAAATCCGCAAAATTTTTTACCTATAACTTCTATATATGTTGGTCCACAATGTGAATTGTTATTAGAATCAGAATCTCCGGAATTTGTAGTTGAAATAAAATCCACGTGTTTATCTTTTTACACAACCGCGTTAGAAGATATGATACAACGATTGCCTTATAATGATAAATTTTTTCGCGAACTTAAATTTTTAGATCCAAGTATAGCTTTACGCGAGGAAAGTAGACTTACCTTTCCAGACTTGAGAAATTTAGCAAAACGTTTTCAAATTTCCGATATTACGGCCTTAGCTTATGAATGGAGAATGTTACCTATTGTATTAAATGACGCGGATAAAACTCTTTTGGCTAATTTAGAAATTGATGACATGTGGAAGAATATTCTAAGAAAAAAAGTAATTTAATAGATTAAAACCGTTTTTTCCAAATTTTAGAAAATTTAGTACATATAGTTCTGTCACTTCCACATTCTAATGCCGAAGCAGAGAGAATATTTTCTATTGTTACAGATGTGAAGAATAAAAAGAGGAATCGGATTGATGTTACCTGTTTAGACGCCGTTTGTAAAGTACGATCAAGTTTTCAAGCTAATAATATTGATTGTCGCACTTTCTAAGTAGATTCAACACACTTGAAATTGCACAATTATAAGAATTTATTTTGTTCTGATAAGAATAATGATAAAGTTGATTAAGATTAATATAAAATAGACTTTTTTATATACTCATACTTCTTATTATAACTTTTCTTTGTTATGTGAACAATTTAACTTTATTCCTTCTATATTCTACAACTATTCATTCTATTCATTTTACAACTTCTTTGAAAATCTTTCTTTTGCTTTCATGATTGCTATTTATTTGTTTCGCGATTGCTTTTAATGTTTGAGCATCCGTATTCTCTTTTTATTCTAGTGTTAATTAATAACTAATTTTATTCTATATATTAGTTTCTTCAATATTTATTTTTTTTTTCTGTGATTTTAATTCTGTGATCTTTTGTGCAATTGTTTATTGCAATTTTTTAGTTTTATTTTGTGTGATAAAAATCCACATATCAATGCAGTGCAATATTTTCGTTTCTTTCTTAAATCTTTCTTTAACATTTCTTTACTTATGTTTGCTTTTCAGTTTTTCTGTGATCTATGATCTGTGATCTCCATGCATAAGTGCATGCATTTTATTTTATTTAAAGTATTTATTTAAATATTTATTTTTATTTATTTTAAGTATTTATTTAATATTAACATTTTAGATACTTTAATAATTAACGTTATAATTATAATTAAAAACTTGTTTATATGTTTCTATGTTGTGTATATATGTTGTTAAAAAATAATTTTATTCTGTTGCAGTAATCTGGGACCTGCATTTCAAGACGAAACTGCAAAATTTATATATGTATAATATGTTTTGTTTTGAATATTGGTAAGGTTTTCTGCAGTTTCCCTTACCCTCGCAACAAATGTTGATATTCGTGTAATAAATCGGCTGCAGACGTAAAAACATAACAAATAAATAAATTTTTTATTACCATTTATATTTAATGTATTTTATTTCTTTCATCTAAACTTTTTTCTTTCCCTGCAATTTCATTTATATTTATTTTCTCGCTGGGATCTAACGATACCTTATATTTGATTGTCATATATACATTACTGAGGGTTCAAAGCGTTTGCTTAGTGCGCAGACGCAACTTTATTCCCACGATAGCGCATCACTGCGTGGGTTACGTTTGTAGCAAATCGAGTATCGAAAATTCAAACAGAACTACCGTCAGCTACTTGGTGTCACGTTCCAACTGGCTCGAATCCCGCGGATATTGCATCCCGCGGCATTGCTCCGGCTGATCTATCGTCCTGCGAACTATGGTGGTCGGGCCCGATTTGGTTGACACAGTCGTCGAAGTTATGGCCCCGTCAGACTCCCAAGAGTTCTGACGAAATTACCTGTGGCGTCAACACCGAAACTCGCAAGGCTGCTGTCGCACATATCAACGACGTGCCGCAACCGCTTGCGCTCGATGATCTTCCTCATCGGCTATCATCGTGGACGCGCCTACTTCGAGTGACCGCATATGTCCTTCGATTTATCGCCTGTGCACGATCGAAACGGTCAAGTACCACGGGAACCGATTCTCGCCTTACCGCCGCTGAATTGTCCGAAGCACGCATCTTTTGGTGCAAACAAGCTCAGCTCAGTCTTTTCGCCTCAGAATATAAGGAGCTACGTCGAAAGCAACCTATATCATCTCGAAGTCCCTTAATAAAATTAACGCCATTCCTCGACAAAAACGACACTATCCGGCTCGGCGATCGGCTAAAAAATGCCCCTCTCGCATTTTCCGAGCGACATCCAATTATTTTGCCTCGTCATCGTATCAGCGATTTGATCATCGACCATGCCCACAAACACACGTTACATAGAGATCCACAGTTGACTATCAGATTCATCCGACAGAACTATTAAATTATCGGCGCAAAAAACTTAGTCAAGTCAGCTATTCATTGCTGTGTCCCGTGCGCTCGCCAACGAGCGTTAATTCCGACCAAATTATGGGAAGTCTTCCAGCTTCACGTGTCTCGCCATCTCGCCCGTTCACACACACGGGCATTGACTATGCGGGATCATTTGCCGTCCTGTGGAAAAAGGGGAGAGGACAACATTCACACAAGGCTTACGTGTCCACATTTGTTTGCTTGG